GCGGTTGTGGGCAGTCAACCCCCCACCCCCACCCCATTTTCTCATCTACAGAACAACAGAATGGCCATGTCACAGAGTTGCTGTGAGAATGAAAGACAACATGGGTAAAGCACATGGCACAGAGCCAGGCACGCAGCTATTAAATTGCTGAAAAACTAGTATTTAAATGTAATCTTTTAATATCCACAATGGAAATACACGGTAATTTTTGTCTATTGTATAAAAAACTTATGACTTTCAGACTGAAGTCACTTCCTCTTTTTTGTCTCACGAATTGGTTAGTAATTTCACATTAGTAATGTCCTAACAACTGTGAATTCTAATCCAAAGTCAAGGTATGAGTGATGAAACTGCCAACATCCCACAAGTTTTGGGGCTTTTATTATTTTTTTAAAAGATGACCGGTATGGGGATCTTAACCCTTGACTTGGTTTTATCAACACCACACTCTCCCAAGTGAGCCACAGGCCGGCCGTAAGTTTTGGGTTTTTAAATCACCACTTCCAGTTCATTCTTCTTGGTGGCTGGCCAGTAAGGGGATCCAAACCCTTGACCCTGGTTTCACTGGCACCATCCTCTAACCACCTGAGCTAACCGGCCAGCCCTCACTTCCAGGTCACCTGAAAAGGATCATTAAGAACAGGCTGAGTCCTTCAGTCTTTTGATCGTTGTGTCCTTTTCTACCTCTATGGCCTTCTGAATTGCAAACAGTACTACTATTTTACTTCAAACCAGGCTGTGCCGTGTTTTCTTCAATATTGCTGTTTTGCTGCACATTTTTACATTTGAAGTGAGAGCGGTAAGGAACCCCAAATTCTCTTCCTTCAGGAAAGGCATCACACCACTCCTTCCCCCAGGGACTTCCCGCTAAGTCTAGCCATTTAGTTAGAACAGGGATGAGAGTAATGCCTTAAAATTGCACTAAAGTGACTCTCCATTTCTAGAGATGAAATTAAGGATATCCACCATACAGAGGAAAATGAATATGGCTTCGAGTTATAGCCTCACACAGCACAACCACCTATCTAGATTAGTTGCTGTGGTCTCCAGACCTTTAATATAAGCATTGAAAGTACAATGGACTCTTCCCTCCCCCTATTTCTTTACCAGTTGTTGACTGTGGCCCTCCTGATGATCTACCCAATGGCCAAGTGGAATATATCACAGGTCCTGAAGTGACCACGTACAAAGCAGTGATTCAGTACAGCTGTAAAGAGACTTTCTACACAATGAAAACGAATGATGGTAAGCAAATTTTTCAAAGCTGGGGGTGGGCAATATTTGGAACTTGAGCCCTCATGGTCTGAAAATAAACTTTAACCAACATTTTTGGTTAAGGAAAGACGAAAGATTAAAAGGCACTTTTCCCGCCCGCTAAGTGAAATATTATAGCTGAAGTGACTTTAATGTCAATTTGCAAGAATCTGAAAACAGATCTTATCTAGTAAATGACTACTACAAACACACAATATATTCCAAATGGTTTAATTTAACAAGTCAAAACCTTATCATTAAGCACTTGAGATCTTGATACATATTCAAGTTAAACATCTAAAAGGTTTCCACTTTGCAAGCAAACATGGTAATGCAGAGACCTCCTATTTATGAAATCATGTAAAATGGTTATTCAGACGCCTCTATTTCCCACTGATGCTCAAGAATCAACATTTTTCAGGGAAGTATTCAAGCAAATGACAACCACCTTATACATGCAGTTAAACATTTTTGCTTTTCCAATGATTTGCAGGTAAATATGTGTGTGAGGCTGATGGATTCTGGACGAGCTCCAAAGGAGAAAAATCACTCCCAGTCTGTGAGCCTGGTAATGGATACATTTATACAAGAGATTCGTAATTGACAGGAAGTAGAACTGGGTAGGAGACAATACGGAGAGCTTTAGCTGTGGTAGGCAGAAAACAGAACTTCAGTACTTGGCTCATAGGCCAAGTTATTATTTCCAAATAATATGTTCTCATTATCCCCTCTCCATATGAAGAGGTTGTTCAGTGCTGACTACATCAGTCATCTGATTATTCCTGAACTTATAACAAGGCAAGCATAAAAAATGAAATGATTTTAAAAATTATCTTGAACCATTTATACATTTATAAATATGAGTTTTGTTGTTACTTTTCTTCTCTGTAAAAATGCTATTAAAACCCAAAGCTAATAATTGTTTGCAATGACATCTAGTTTTTAAACATTAATGCAATTTGCCTTTCAATAGTACATAAAAAAAATTTTTAACCATTGGCTCCAAAGATTATAGTTGAGTAGAATGATTTTTTTAAAAAAATCAGAAAAATAATAATATATTCAATACCCCTGTGTTATTTGGCTTAAATTAAGTTGTTTTATTTTTAACCTATACTTGGCCGACACAACATTTCTAAGTTTTAATACAAGTGTACTGCCACTAAGGGAAACACATATGCTACACTAATGAGCGACAGTATTTAGTTTGCAATAAAGACACATAAAATTTAGTGTTTAGAAGAATCAACTAGACCAAAAATAAAAATTTCCGAAACTGAAAAGTGCTGGCTACAACTGCAACATTCTAATTTTAAAACATTTATATGTTCAAAGGTGAAAGTAATTTTGCAATTCCTGATAATGACATAGACCAAAAATAAAAATTTCCGAAACTGAAAAGTGCTGGCTACAACTGCAACACTCTAATTTTAAAACATTTATATGTTCAAAGGTGAAAGTAATTTTGCAATTCCTGATAATGACCTTAGTTCCTGCTTTCCCAGAATTACATGGTAAATACCCTATTTGACAAATAAGAAAACAGAAGCAATAAAAAGGTTATGTCCTTTCACTTCTTTGTACATCATTCAGTGCATCAGCTCAGGCAGTTTCTGTTTGCCCTATTAAATAACTTCCCCAATCTTATAGATCAAATTCTTTTCGTAAAACAAAATTTCTGAACGTTAATTTTCACTAATCTCATTTTCTGACCTAATATATACCAACAGTTTTTTTTACCACATCTTCCAACTGTGCTTTTAAAACAGCCTCACTTGCCTATACAGGTGGACACCCACCAACTCACTCCTGTGATGTAATTTTTGGTTGACATTAAATATACTCAACTCCAATGTGGTGTTGAGAAAAATACCAATGGGCTTATATAAAGGCATATTATCTATCTGCTTCTCTCCCCAGTTTGTGGACTATCAACCCGTACTACAGGAGGTCGTATATATGGAGGGCAAAATGCAAAGCTTGGCGATTTCCCTTGGCAAGTCCTGTTATTAGGTGAAACTACAGCAGCAGGTGCCCTTTTATATGACAACTGGATCTTGACAGCTGCTCATGCCGTATATAGGCAAAAAGAAGATGCATCTTCCTTGGACATTCGAATGGGTACCCTGAAGAGACTATCACCTCATTACACACAAGCCTGGGCCGAGGCTGTTTTTATACACGAAGCTTACACTCATGATGCTGGTTTCGACAATGACATAGCACTGATTAAGTTGAAGAACAAAGTTGTAATCAATAGCAACATCATACCTATTTGCCTGCCAGGAAAAGAAGCTGAATCCTTTATGAGGACAAATGACATTGGAACAGTATCTGGATGGGGATTAACCCAAAGGGGTTTTCTTGCTAGAAGTCTAATGTTTGTTGATGTACCAATTGTTGACCATCAAAAATGTACTGCTGCATATGAAAAGAAGCCCTATCAAGGGGGAAGGGTAACTAATAACATGCTTTGTGCAGGCTTAGAAAGTGGGGGCAAGGATAGTTGTAGAGGTGACAGTGGGGGGGCATTAGTGTTTCTAGATAATGAGACACAGAGGTGGTTTGTGGGAGGAATAGTGTCCTGGGGTTCCATTAATTGTGGGGAAGCAGATCAGTATGGGGTATACACAAAAGTCATTAACTATATTCCCTGGATCAAGAACATAATTAATAATTTTAATCTGCATGTCCTCAATCAGTAAATGATTTCTTTTCTAGAAATACCTGTGAAAGATCTTAGCAGCAATGTGATCTGAGAAGCATTAACATGGCACTTGTTGCTCCACCCCCAAATCAAACCAAACTCCAGGGTGAGACTATGGGCACTTCTCCACTTGCCGGTTTAATTCCACCCTTACTTGCTGATTCAAGGGGATATAAACCATAATAGTGATCATCATCTCTGCACATCCAATATAAACTCAGTGCTTAAATTATAATTACTTACAAAAACCAGTATCTTTTCATACTGGCTGTCTGCATTTCTGTAAATTGCCTGTCCATGTTTCTTGACTGTTTTTCTACTGTTTTTAGACTTGTTATTTCCGCTATCTAAGAGTGCTTCACACGTTACAGCAGTATTGGTTCACGAATAACCCTGAATCACTTTTTTTGGTAAATAAGCTGGAAACATCAATACTTTAACCCAGGTACTTACTGATTTCAATGTTAAAAAACAATACCACAAAACAGTGAGATATATGGCATTTCCACAAGATGAACTATGACATCAAAAATAGGTTGAGATATTACAGATAAACCTGTAATTATTTTTTTCTTTTACAATGAACATGAAATTCTTGGGCACAGATATGCCAAACAGCAGATCACAGATCATACAATAGCTGAGTACAGAACCCTAATACACAGTTAAGAGCTGCTCTCCTAGTACTCAACAACAAAAATTACTCTATCACATACATCTTGTGAATCACTGAGTAGTTAACATCCTACTTTTTCCTACTAAGGTCAAAATGTAAGTGCTGATTTAACCTTAAAATTCTGATCTGATTTTAGTTGATTTTTCCTCCCTAAAAAGTTTTAATAGCTAACGTTTAATAAAGTTTTCCAGCTTAGCTAAATAGTTACCATTTTATGTAAAAATCCACTGTGAGTTTTGGCCTAATTTCTCTTGTGTATATGAAGTACAATTTCTTGAGACTCACTTTTTAAAGGTAAGTTTCCAGCATCTTTGTCACATGTAAAAAAGAAATGTTTTTCCAGTAAGACTCCAGACACTAAACTGTGGTGGCAACAAAAATGTTTATTCAACTGGTTCAAAAATTTTTTAGAATGAATGCATTTAGATGACCAAATAGACTTTTAAAAAACAAATCTTTGCCAAATAGTTTAAGTACTTCTAAACTTCATTTTTTTAAGAGAATAAATACCCATAGCTATGTAATATCATAAACATGTTAATAAAAGGCTACTCAACATTTAAAGCCTTCTATGACCAGTTACTAGACTCATACAAGTGTAAATAAGGTATTAAAACCATGCCATTGACAAGTTAACTTACCCCTGGGCTTCTTGAAGGCTTGTCAGTTTAGTCTTTGGAGGTCCCCGAGTACCATTTTAAGTGTTACCATGTTACTGCTGCTGAGTAATAGTGCAAGTGCTAAAATGCAAAATTCAGACGGTACAGGGTTTGGAAATCATGCAGATTTAGATGCAGGAAAAAAAAAATTAAAACAACTCAAGATCCTTTACAGAGGAATCTGAATAACAAACAATGTGGCGATCACAGTCTAAAGGATGACTTCATTTATAAATGTTTAAAACACGTAACTTGCAAAATGACAAACCTATTTATCATAATCTAATTAGGTAAGGGCATTAGGTAAACTACCAACACAAAAAACTGTCACAATCTTCCAATTAGAAAATGAGTTCCTTAACTCTCCCAGAATTAATAGTTACATAAAAAGTACAATAGAGAACCAATATATTATTGCTTTCATATACTTAACAATGCATTGTGAGAGTCTAATCTGAGTTTTGTTAAGTGATTTTATTCATTACTATATTCCCCCACCTTTGGAGGATAAAGCCCCTTTCACTTAACACTTCGACAGACAACCCACCCTACTAGTTCTTAAAGCTATCAGGCTTCTTAATGGATTTCAGGCACATGATAATTTGTAGTTTCTTCTACTTTATCCCTATTGCAATTAATTCCACTTTTCAAATCCCAAACTGATATTCCCTTTTCAAATGATATGCTTTGCTACAAAGCATTTGAAAATAATCAACATTGTTTTGTCCACTCCCCAAACAATAATATTTTTAGAAGGCATGATTTCCCCATGGAGATTTTTCAGGCCATGTAAATAGAGCATCACCCAAATGCACAGAGGCACTAAGAAAAAGCTGGAGGGTACTGCTTACCATTTTAGGTGTGGTCACCCAGACTTATTAAAAACTAGATTTAAAAGAAAAAAAAAACTTTTCACTTTGGACAATGCAAGAACAAATAGCAATTAAGTCTGGGTATCAGGTGTCAATGCATGACAGGTGATGAATCCATTTGACTTGAGATAACTTTTCAAATAAGTTTATTTGAAGCAAAATAAACTACTGCCAAGAAACTTTATGAAAGTTCCATCTCAAAAGGGTCAAAAAAGGGGAATTAACTGCTATGAATTCTTTGCATTCAGGGCTGCAAAACAAAGACACATATTATTTAAATCAGTTTTATTTAAGAATTTCAAACATTGACAACTCTTATAAAAAGCATCCAAGCACAGGACACAGAACTGCAGCAAACAGCATTCTTATGGGTAGCTAACAGACATTAGAACTTCCACCCTTCTTTGAGACACCTGAGCTCACTGGTGAACTCTGCTTCCAAGTACTCCTGCAAAGCACACCACAAGCTCAGTCCATGTTCTCAACCCATCAGCTTCAGTTCACATTACCACACTTACATATCAGTAACAGAAGAGAACACACACCATACAGCATTCACAGCAGTTGACAAAGGGGTAGGGGAAATACAAGTATCATTTTACTTAAGTTTCACTTAACACATTCAACTAATGTGGGTTACCTAAGAACAAAACTCACTTAAAGTCTTCCAACAGATGTGGATGTCCTTTGAATGCAAAAAACATTCGTACGTTATTTGCTAGCATTGCTCTCTGCACACTCTCACCAAAGCCACAGGATTGAGAGACACATCTCGCCAAGTTAAAAAATATCCATTATGCACCACCAAGTCTCTGCACGCGCTCTCTCCTTTTCTCGCTCATACTATCCTTTCATGCCTCGGCACCACCATCAATCCCACACAAGGTTTCAAAAGTTCAAACAGCCTTCTGGTTCCATATCACAGCCTTGCGTTCATAGCGTTGATACGACTCCATGAAATAAAGAGTAGCGGATAAAAATGGGACACCCACCGTCAAAGACGCAGCCTGTGCAGTGTAATGACGAATTCTTGAATGAGAAAGCATGTAGACAGAAGTATTCCTATGGCAGAATATTTACAGCACTATTTTCAATGAAGTGCTTCTTCCATAAACATTTGAAATGAGATGAACTGCAGAGATTAAATGAAGGCTTCATATTGTACTTTTGTATATGAGGGGAGACAAGTGTTAGAAAAACAAAAACAAAAGAACCAAACACTGTGACACCATGATCTCCCAAAAGGAGATTTTCCTAAGGGAAAAATCCATATGGTGGGGTTCAAATTAAAACAAAGAGAAAAGAAAGTAGTTCTAATCAATGGTTTCCATTTTGAACATGCAAAGAATTCACTTGACAAGTCCAGGGATAAAACATTACAGGAAAAACCTTTTGATATCAATTGTAGTGTGTTGGTTTACCAAAAAGGCAAACAGCAGTTCACTTTCAACCACTCAATATTTCAACCCTTTATATAACAAAACTTATAAAATTCCTTTAGTTCTTCCTCTTTTTCTAAAGAAAAATGTCAAAAATACTGCTGAATATACTCCACACTGAACAAACCAATTTTTGAAAATTCTTAG